TGGGGGTTTTCTGTTTTATATTTTTACATATTTTTTTTTTTCTTTTATGCTCCTTGTATTTTATACAATATATTTTTCTTCTATTCGCTTAGTGCTGTCTTTAATTACATTTCATCGTCTTTGATGTTTATTGTACTTGTTTCTTGCTTTTGGTAATATTCATGTTGCTGCTCCTCAATGTGATCATGATATTACCCTAACTACCATATACTCTTATATTATAACATAGTAATTCTGATGTCGAGACAAGTGTTTTTTATACGTACATACTTTTTATGTGTTTGATTATTTTCATTTTATTTTTGCATTTTTTCTTTTTTAAATAAAGTCTAGAAATTGGCAATGGCAACTTATTTTAAATACACTTTAAATTTTTTTACTACATTCATCTAACTAAACTATATACTAATAAAAATTTATAAAAGAATAAATATGTACAAACCATATTATTATTATACAGGATTGTATTAAATGTGTATAAGTGATACTGCATAGAAAGTATAAACTGTGATAATTGACTATGTGTTGTCATCGAATATGCTACACTAGATACTACAAGCACACACACAAAAGACAAGCACAAAATGAATTTAAATAGAAGCTTTAAAGTTTATTTATTATTATGCAAAATTTTTCTTCTTTAATAATGAGGTTAAAAATTAAAGTTCATTTATTATTGTGAATCTGTTATTTTGCTGAAGAATTTTCTCTGTCTCTCTCTCTGATATTATAGGATATGTGAATATTGTGTGATATGTGAATTGCTGAGTAATGTTGTAATTAAATGAAGCTTCTAGTGATAGTATTTCTATTTATAATTTCGAAACTTCTTAAAATTTGAAGCATTTACTTAGAAATTATTAACGTCAAACAATTTTATTCACTCGGTGAGAAAAAAGCAGGTATATACGTTATATACTATATCATTGTGAATAATGAGATTTAAAATAGATTTTAATTGGTAAAATTTTTCGTACTCTAAGAATATTGTTTTTTCTATATGTCAATTCAAGTTAAGTCGATCTATTTTAAAATTTTTTACTGGCATTTAAAGAAAAAATCTTATTGGCGATAAAATATTTTTATTAAAGAGAATGCAATAACTAAAACGAGTGACTGAAAAAATGAGATACCAAATGAAGCTTTATCGGAATTATAACAATTACAATAAGCAATTAAATATCAGTGAAGTTTTGAAGTATGTATAGAAAAATAACCCTTACAGTTTTACAGACAAGAAATAACTTTATTAATGTATGGTTAAAATCCATCGCAAGATTTATTATTTAAAATTTTAATAATTTTAGGAGAGTATATGCAATTCACAATAATAATTATAAATAAGCGGCTATAAATTTTATTTTAGACAAGCTTTCATGTGCAAATTCTAAGAAATTTTACGAAATTATTTACTAAATTAAAATCGAAAAAAATATAGAAAACCTAAAAGAAATCTGAGTACTAATAAATTGAATCTAAATTTTAAAATATTAAAAATTTCTTTAATAAATTGTAAAACCTTAAAAAAAAAAATTTCACCTTGTAAAATTTTCAAACGTTCTTATAATTCTACCGACTAAAGAATTTCTCCTAAATTGTAGGTGTATATGTACTTCTCTTACAAATTACTTGCATATTTATGCACCTATAGTCATAACACACATGTACGTATAAATATATACTTATTTGTTCAATTTTGTGCTTCATCTTGAATAATAATGTTAAAAATTTTTACATTCCTCATTATTATTGTTATTTTTTTTATTTTCTCATTCTTTTAACAAGAAAAAACACATAGTTTTAGGCGACTTTCATGTTATCAAAAATATTGGTGTGTGTGTGTGAATATTATTTTCTACATATTACTGCAATTGCAAAATTAAAAATTCTGAAAATTTGATACATTGTTTTGAATATTCAGTTTTCTTTTACATTTATTTTATATTTTAATATTTTTCTCTTTACAAATTCTTCTTCTTTAACATTTACCACACACAAATTTAGAAAATTTAATGATTTTACATTGAAATATGTATGTACTAATATTTACTTACTTTTATATTTTAAGAAAAATATTTTTCACATTTCTTAATTTATGAAATATATACACACATAGAACATTTACTGTGTAATTTACCACAGAATTGTGTCTGTAAAACTGATATTAATAAGAAATAAATTTTCGTAAGAATATTATTCTCGAATCTAAATGTATAGAAAATTTTACATTGTTTGAATTCAATATAATATTGTATATGTAGAAAATAATGATGTAGTTTCATTTATTTTCAATTTTTCTTCAAATAAATTTTTATCACTTTGTAAATATAGAGTTGAGTAATGAAGAAATATGCACGATGTATAGATATAATACTCATATTTATAAAATATAATGCAAACGAATTACTCATAAAAATAAGCACATTTCAGTTTAAAAATAAAATTTCAATTTTCAGTTTAAGTTAATAAGTTCAAAAAGTATGATTGTAATTTGCATACATTTGGGAGTTGATTTAAAGAAAAAATTTTTATATCCGTACGAACGTGTGCTGAAAGGGTATCATAAATTTGCCTTACCATTTGTAACGCTAAAAGATAATGACCTGAGATGTAAAATTCTATTTTTTTGATCAGCATCGAATTCTGAGTCGATTTAAGCATTCCTGTCCGTATGTCCAGACGATTATCGGTCCAGCGGTAACTTAAAAACTAATAGAGCTAAGCTCACCAAATAATCACAAAATGATTTATAATAAGTAGTAAATTCCAGAACCCTATTTAAATTAGATGCGATTGAGGCAATGGTTCGTGTAGCTGCACTAAAAATTCAAAAGTTATTTGGCTAGATCTCCACAAATTACAAAACCTATAGTATTGAAATTTCGCATAAGCAAGTATTTTATTAGTGCTATTATATTTGATAAAACCAGTTAAAATTTCTTGACTTGTGGTGATAGCTGACATGCAACTTTGCAAGGCGTTTTTTAGTCGTTTATTATGGAATAACTATTGCAATTATAGTCCTGAAATAAAAAACCAGGATTACGTATGGAACACTGTGGCAATTAACACACAGCACTTAAAATCATTCATTGGTACGGATATCACAGAGGTGACAAATTCAACTCTACTTATTCTCATTTTAAATAATATAAAAATGTAAAAATTTCAAACTTAGATTGAGAAAAAGATTACCGGACGATTCAACACAAAATCAAGTCGATATAAAGAAGCACATTTTTATTTCAAAAATTAAAGAAAATATGCTTAAAAATGTTTTTTCCTCTGATTTGCTTTAAAACTAAAATTATTGTTATGAAAATAAATATTTTTGTGCATGTTGATTTAGAACATTCAGAATTTTACAAATAATTCTGAAATTATGAGATTTTTTGAAATGGAAACTTATTACAGTAATTTTAGTATAAATTTGGGAATAAATCAAAAAAAAAATTTCAAATACGATCATTCATCATTTAATCATAACTAAAATATTTTTCTCTAAAATAAATTAGAAGTGTTAGTACTAGTTATAAAGAGAGATTAAAGGTAATTATACAAAGTAAATAGGAATAATCATTTAATAATTGAGCATTAGTAATTTATATTAGCAAGACTGCCAATTATATTAAGTTTGAAAAGAGTTAAAGCGAAAACATAGGGATAAAAAACAGCAAGGGTTGTGTCTTCGGTCGTCTTCGGGCCAACCCTAAAAATAAACCATAATTACCAAAAACACAATGCCAAACCATATGCCAAAATATTAACTACTAAACTAACTTATTCGATAGTGATTTGAAAAATTAAGGAGTGAGTTAGTTAGAATGAGTTTCATTTGCTCAAAAAATTTTATTCAGCTCATGTAACAGATTTCCAGCTCATATCCAAAACTTTTGAAAAAATTGTTGTATAAAATGAATTCTTCAGATAACTCCAATTTTTATGTTAACAATTCCATTTACAATATCACGTTTAAAGATTGAAATATCAAACAAAATTGACTTTCTTAAAATTATTTAAAAAAAATTTTGAGAAGAAAAAAAGGAAAACTTTAAAAATATTTTCTAAATTAACGTTAATTGTAAAAAACAAGAAGTAATTTTAAACCGAGACAAAGATTAAAGAATTTCGAATAAGTTTTTTCATAATCCTTTTATGTTCATCTTAAAATCACTTTCTCCATTAGGCTGAGAGGAACATTAAAAGGAAAAAAAGAATTTAATAAGAAAAGAATTCAACTTTTTTCAAGAATATTTTCTTATAAGGATTAACACTTAAGAACAATTTCCAAGTCCTTTATGTAAAAGCGATTTAGTCCTTCTTAAAATTTTTATAATTTTTCAGTTCTTGTATAACATTTTACTTACGTAAATTAGACTTTGCATTATAAAATAAAAAAAAAATTGCAATTTTCTACTTTTAATCCTTATGGTTACCTTGACCGTCTTCTTTATTTAATATTATCTCAAAAAACTTGGGAGAAAATTAAAATTTAGAATTTTTTCTTTTGTTAGAAATATAAAGAAAATTTTGAAATTGCAAAAATTTCGATAAAATGGTGAAAAGAAAAAGAAAATTCACTTTAATTTCAACATAATCACTCCAAAAAATTCCCAAAAAAAAAATAAATTTTATTTCTAAGAATTTGTTCGATCAATCGGTACAAGTGTAAACTAAAAATGAGTATTAAAAAACAAATTTGTCTGTAAAAATCATTGAGTCAAAGAATAACTGACAAGGAATCATTTGAGGACTTTAGATTTGCATCCTAATAACAAGTTAACGTCTAACAATGTAGGAACTCTTCTAAGTTCCATACAACACATTTCCTGGCTTTAAAACGCGTTTTCTGGCTAAACTAGAAGAGATAGAGCGATTCTAAGTTTTTCCTGTGATCACTGGGAGTTCACAGATTCTTGCAATATACGATAATAGGGATAACTTAATTTAATTTAATATTAATAATTTTTTTTTTATATATACAATAAAATATTACTTACAGGTATTGCTTCACATATATCACTATTATCCCAATTGATATCACTATTACTGTAGAAAATATTATTATTATCACTCTTACTGCTACTACTGCTACTACTTATATAATTACTACTATTTATTTCATCATCGTCTTCTCTACACTTTGATAATTCTTGCATAAACGGAGGTCTCGGTGGTGGCGGTATCATGAATTTTGGTGGTGGACCAGCGCCACCACATTCATCGCAATCAAAATCTATATTTTCGTCGAACATTTTCAAATTGTACTCGTAAAGCAAGTTAAAGGATTACAATAAAATTGTAAATTTTACATAAAAACAAAACAAAAAACAAAAAAAATGAGGACCCTTTTAAAGGAACAATAAAAAAAAATTAATTTAATTTTTGTATTTTTATTTCGGTTTTCTGCCGTTTCAAAAAATTATCGTTCGACATTGAAAATTTGTATGAGTCGTAAGCGTTGACACATCCCAGAAATCTGAAAGCAAAAAAAGAAACAAAATTTTAATTTTTTTTTAATAAATGGACAAATATTTTTTTTTAATTAAGCAATATATCTGAAAAATATAGAAAATTCTGAGCTTAAATTAATGAATTTAAAATTGCGCTATGAAATTAATTCATAAATTTTAACTTCCATCGAATCACCTTTATTTGTTTTCCTAAACTACAATGTTTGTATTTACAAATTTGTTATTCTTTTTAAAAGAAAATCAAGGATTTTTCAATTTTTTAAATTTTTAATTTTCATTTGCAAAAAATTTTCAACATTCATTCGTGCATCAATTCAAAATTTTCCAAACCCAATAAAAAAAAAAAATATGACAGAAATGCAAAAATAAAACGTATATGAATTTTAAAGCAATCGTAAAAAATTAAAAAAAAAAGACCATAAAATCTTTCAGACAAACAAATTTCAATTAAATTATTTTTCGCTTTCTATTTTCTATATAAAATGATCGCTACTTGTTTTTGCCAGCATTTTAGTAACAGTAGTCCTTTAAAAAAATTTCACCAACATCGAAGATTTCGGGATTTTTTTTTTCAATAATGTGTTTTGTACTTTTACTATTGAAGGATGTCTAAACTATTTTAAGGTTTACAATAATAATAATAATATGTACTCGGACTTTTAATACGTTGCTCTACGTATTGTTCTACGGTGAATAAACAAAACAGTTACGTTGTCTCCCAATGAATCATCAGTGAGCGAATTCAAAATGCTTCGAAGAAAAGTACTGAGACCTTGTGCTGGCAAAAAAGAACTCAGGGTAAGTCTCAAAGCCATGGCATATGTAATTCCTGAATATAAGAGGCAGCATAAAATTGAATTTTTATATAAGTATATAATTTAGATATTTCCTTGAAAAAAATTAATTGTTCGTCAATTAAGTAACTATGAAGATTAAAATACTAACGGGCGATATATTGAGGATAATATATTGAGGACTGGTAAGCATGAACTCTACGAAGCATTTTGATTTTACCGCGAAATCATAAGAGATAAAAATTAAAATTTTCTCTGCTTCACCTTAGATTTTAGTCAATAACAATAGAAAACTAATTGGTAAATACTTTGCGGAAAAATCAGTAACATTCACTTATTAAACTCTCATATTTGTTTTATTATTAAAATTATAGTTTGACATTGACAATTTTGCATTTCAAACCGGAATTTAGAAAGTAATCACTACCTTTAGCTATTTTTATGAGAATATGTGTTTGCCCCCAAAAATATGCAATTTTATTATTTATACATTATATTCTTTAAAACTTTATGCTCAACTTTTACTTCGAGCTCTATACAATTTCACAAATACGTTAACGCAATAAAATATCCTAATATTAGCAAGAACACATCATCTATCAAAAATTTATTTGTTTTCCCTGTGTACATTTTTTTTTGATTTATTGTTTATTACTGAAATTGTTCTATTATGGATATATTGCAAAAAGAAACACAGATTTGAATGTTCATATGTATGAAAATAAAAAAAAAAACAATAAAAAAAGAAAAAGTAAAGTATAAAACGATTGAAAAATTGAATTAAAATTGTTATGATTCCGATACAATAGTATTTGCTTTGGACTGAATTTGATAGTACCAAAATAAAAGCATTCAAAAGAAACACAACAACTATAAAATATCTCTGTGTTTAATCGGCATTTTGTAAAAACCAAAAAAAAAAAGGATGTGGGTATAAAATACATACACACCTATACTTCCATAATGTCTGCATAAATTTTTTGTTTTTCCATTTTTTTTTTGTTTTTATAAAATAATTACATGTGTACCACTATATATTCAAAATGTAAAACAAAACAAAAAAAAAATATGGTAAAATTTGTACCATGAATGTTTGATTGGAATTCAAGGATTAAATTAGAAAGATGTGGAATAAAAAAAATTTGGTTTTGTTATTATTTGATTATCTAATTTGAGTGTGGGACAAACGGTTTTTCATTGAGTTAATGGTCCGAAAAAAGAAATTTTTTTTTTTTTTTACAAATTACTAAATGACCATTATATTGTCGTATGAATCCATTGCCACTATCTATACTATCTATTTTAAAATTATCAATTTATTTTTACATTAAATGATTTGTTTACACAGCATTTAGTCTTAGCATCGTAATTAAACCGATTGTATGATGACTAATGTGTTTGCTTTTCATATACGTATATAAAAATTTTATGGTGGAAAGTTTTTGGTGAAATTGATTTTATTATTAGAATAGAAAAGGGTTTTTATCGTAAATTTGTAATTTAAAACGAGATTTACGTAAAGGTTTTCTAAACACACTCCATTAAAATCTTAAATTAATGTAATATTGTTATCAGAATATCAATTATTCATAAATTTTCCTAATAATTTAGAGAACTTTTTAAAAAAAAAATATACTATAATCGAAATTATATTATGGACGATATTGAAAATTTAAGAAGTAAGGTAATTTTGGTTTTAGTGAACACGCAATGAATTATGACTATATTGTTCCCTTATAGTTTAAAGAAATTCTATCGTTAGTATTAAAGTATTATTGCTAAAATTTCTGGCATTACACTGATAAAAATTTTTTTTTAAATATTTAGTCAACCTACAATTCATAATACTCGTATAATTATTGATTATGCCACACTTATTTTTTCGAAATAAATGATTTTTTTTTTAAATCTAAAATTATTATTTTGTGTGTACTTTTGCGTTTACTTAAATGTTTGTAAAAATTTCCTCTTCCTAAATTTCCATCCATGAAAATTATTTTTTTTTAAGAAAATTCCCGATAACTAAAAAATTTAAAATAAATTTCAATAGTACGATTGTATGAAATCAATCTCTTTATATGATGGCTTTTTACTTTTTAGCATATTTCAAAAAGAAAATTCCAGCAAATAATATATTTAATAGTTATGATAGGGCAACTTTATCGACCCTCTGTGCGTCTTTTTAAAAAGAAAGCTAAAATAAAAGTATAAGAGTTGAAATTTCACAAAAATAATTCTTAAACAAAATATTCTTTCTTATAAAAAATAATTACTCCCAAACAGATTTTTGGCTCACATAAAATCTCCTTATCACATTAAAAAATCGGACAATTCCTTCAAACTCCTCAACACACCACTTTTTATGACAGCCTTAATATTCTACTTTTTCCTATTTTAATTCCACAAATTTAAAAATTTCTGAATTTATTTCATTTACCTACAGAATTATAAGAAAATAAAAATATAATTTGTTGCGAAAATGCCAAAGTTCGGTTAGTTATTTCCTCAAAATCATTAATTTAAGGCATAGAAATTTCTCAAATAAAATTCTTAAATATCTCACAATTTAACATATGCCACTTTGTACCAATAAAAATTTTTCTTATAAATTCTTAACATTGCCCCGAAATGTATGCAATTTTTTTTTATTTTGAGTATTATTTATTTCAGTAGAATTTCTATTTTTATCTATATATTTGTTCCCCTTCTAAGGTCTCAACAATTGTTGATTTTTGAATCAAAAAATTAAAATTAAATGTGCTGCTTTACAAACCATTGATTTTAATTTTACGATATTAATTTTTCTTTTGTATTTTCAAACAATTCAATCATTAATAAATTTATAAAATAAATTATAAGCGAAGGCCAATCATATTTATTGTATAATACATAAGTGTCACAGTCTGTGTACATTTATATACAAGTTATACAATAAAATATTAAAATATATTGAAACATAATTTCAATAAAATATTTATTTTCGAAAAGATTAAGTCATTTTAGAGGACATATAAATCATTTGAAACAATTATAAATTTAGTTTCGATATAATAAATCATTTTAAAAATAATGATCATTAATGATTAATTGTTATAAACATAATAGTGTATAACATGAAAAACAAAAACAACAATAAGAACACAAACAATAATAAAATCAAAGTATACAATAAAATTTTTAATGAATTTCGAAAATCAAAGCAGTAATTTATTGCTCAAATTTATGACAATAACAATCAAAAAAACAGCAACAACAACGAGAGTATAAATGCTTACATCCAAAATCATATATCTACATACATACACTCATGCCTTATATCTAAAAAATTATAAGGTCCTTAAAGCTTATTTTTTTTTTTGCGTTTTTATTGAAAAATATTTTTCCAATCCTTTTTCCATTTTATTTTTCTCTTTTTTTTTTTCATTTTCATTATTCTTTTCATTGTATAATGTTATGAATGCATGAATATTCAAAAGATGCCTAAGATTTGTTGAAGTTGTCTAAATTTTTTGTTTTTGAACCACGTTTACTTCATACTTAGTCATTATTTGTAAAATGTGTATTGGACAAACTATACTATGCATGTTACAGTTGAATAATAAAAAAATTTACTGCTATGATAAACTATTTTAGAGTGACAGTGGAAAATCAAAAGAAAATTTAATGTGATGTGGTTAGCTTATAATCGACAATAATCTCTATTTTCTCGATAATTCCAAAAAATTTTCTTTACCTTAATAAATTGTATATTTTAATGAGTTATGAAAAAATTTATTTTGTACACTTATTTTTAAAATTTCATGAACGCTTGTAGTTCTAAAGCTAGTTTGTAGAAAAAGCTTATTTCAGATCCAATTTCCGGCTATTTTGGATTCTTAAAATAACACTTGAATATTAAATCTCAAGTAATTTCATTTATCATTTCCTAATGGGCAAAAATATAAATGGCATTTTGCAGAAATCTAGTTTCTAAATTTCACCTAATTAAATCCCCAAAAAAATTTTGATTCATCCGGGCTTAAGATGCACAGGTCACATTTCGATAAAAATAATTTTTTCATCCTAAATTTTTTGATACATAAAATTTGGTGTGAGTGTAATACCTATCATGCTGTATGTAATGGGATCAGTTAAAAAAAAAGATTATTTTTTCTAACAGTATGGTATTTAAAAATCCTTTTTGCATACATTATTTAAGATCATTTTTATTC